ATGGTGACCAAGAGGTCGTGATAGCGTACTTCAGCAAGACCGGAACCGGAAAGGAACTATTGTGTCACAAGACGCGAATTGCTCGCTGTGGTAAAGTCGTTGCAGCATTTTAGCAAATATCTTCTGGGACGAAAATTTCACTTACGAACTGACCATGCTGCACTAAAATGGCTATTGCAGTTTAAAAATCCAGAAGGACAAGTTGCGAGGTGGATTGAACTACTGCAGGAATACGACTTTAAGATCGAACATCGCAGCGGAAATCTCATGGCAACGCAGATGCATTGTCAAGAAGGCCTTGTGCTGAAGATTGCAAACATTGTATTAGGCAAGAGAGTAAGGAAGTGGTATCCGTGAGGATGCTCAGGACAGACCACCTCAGCAACGAGTGGAAGGACAGCTTGCAACATGCACAGCAGGAAGATCTAGACATCAAGCCGATTCTGCATTGGATGAAGGTCAGTGCTCCCAAGCCCAAGTGGAGCGACGTCTCAGCTATGAGTTCGACCACTAAAAGCTATTGGGCCCAGTGGGACAGCTTGCTGCTTCAGGATGGAGTTCTGTGCCGTAAGTGGGAAAATGTTCAGGGAGACAGCTGTCATTTGCAAATGATTGTCCCTAAAGCTAAAGTACCGGATGTTCTACAGCTGTACCATAATGATTGTTCAGGAGGCCATCTGGGAGTTAAACGAACTATACTGAAGATCCGAGAACGGTTTTACTGGGTCCATTGTCGAAACGATGTCGAGGACTGGTGTCGCAAATGTACAAGATGTGCGGCTGTAACCTCTGCTGCTGGACCTCAGACTCGTAGTCGAGGTGCATTGAAGTTGTACAAAGTTGGTGCACCATGGGAGAGAGCCATTGACGTGGCGGGGCCGTTTCCGGAGAGTGAAAGCGGTAACAAGTATTTCATGTTGGTGATGGATTACTTCACTAAGTGGCTAAAAGTCTTCGCCATTCCAAATCAAGAAGCTTCAACAGTTGCAGATAAACCACTTCATGAAGTCTTCTGTCGTTTTGGAGTACCTTTAGAGATTCACAGCGATCAAGGAAGGAATTTTGAGTCTCAAATATTCCAGGAAACTTGCCGAGTTATGGGTACTCATAAAATAAGAACGACTTATCACCCGCAATCTGATGGAATGGTAGAACGATTTAATCAGACATTGGAGAGGTACCTAGCAAAAGTTGTAGACAATCGGCATCGAGATTGGGACAAGCACATACAACCGTTTTTATTGTCATATCGAGGCGCTGTTCACGAAAGTACAGCAGTGACACCAGCTTTCGCAAACTTTGGAAGAGAATTACGGCTGCCTGCAGACCTGATCACCGGGATACCATCTGATGCCCCACGCAGTATAACCGATTATGCAAATGACTTGCGGAACAAAATGAACTACATTTATGAGCACTTCAGACAATCGGGCCAGCAAATGTTCGAAAATATAAAAACCCGGTATGACCGCAAAATTAACTACAAAGGGTTCGACGAAGGTTCACTAGTGTGGATGCACAATCTAGTCCGCAGCAAAGGGAAATCTCCTAAGCTTCAAGCTAAATGGGACGGCCCGTACCGGATTGTGACCAGGATCATCGATGTAACCTACCGGATACAGAAAGGCGCAAGAGGAACTCCTAACATCGTCCATGTGGATCGCCTGGTGCGTTATTATGGGGCCGATAATGCTCGGGACGAGCATGTCTTAGGAGGGGGCAGTGTTGCGCGCCTAAGTTGACGTCAGGTACCTGGCACTAGCGCCATCTAGTGTCGGGGACCAGAGCGAGGAGGGCTTCCTAGAAAATGTCAATCTCGATCTTTCGACCAACAGCGCCATCTAGTATCGAACAGAAGAATTAAGCTTTCTAGAAGCCCCACACTCGAACTTTCTGCGTCTGGTCGTTCGGCGCCCGTATTTACTGGAATATTCTGGATGTTTCGGTGTAAAAGGTGTATTTAAAGCCGCTGCAACCCGCTATCGGGGCAGTATTGAATTTGGCGAGACAAGCGAAGCTCGGAGCGAAATAAAGTGAATCAGTGTGATTAATTATTAGTGTTTTAAGTTTAATTGGTGTTCGGTAATAAAAGTGTAAATTTTGGTAATTCAATCGGAAGTTTTTATTGTAACGAACCTCAAGTTTGTAACAATATGTTTATCGAAACCGGTATTGACGTGGTAAAGAATTATGCGTCGTGCAGATTCCTTTGCAAATTGGAGATTTTAATGATTTGAGTTATTTTTTTAATTTATTTAATGACATTTGCAGAAAAAACATTATATAACTGTAAAGACAGTTTGTTAGCGAATAAATGCATATATATATATATATATATATATATATATATATATATATATATATATATATATATATATATAACAAATAGAAATTTAAACATAAACACTATATTTTCCACAATCTTAGAACCCACCCATAATGTGTAAATATAACCCGGATATATTTTTTTAAATATTACAAACAAATAACAGTTTTCTAAATGGTCATACGTCTAGCATTTTATCCAAAAAATAATTCCCAAGTTTCTTTTTAATTGTTAAATTGCAATTAGGTCTACCTTGCCTTAGCCAATCTATTTAATTAAAAAGCTTTGGTATTAAATATTTTGTACATCTTTTACCATAGTAGTTTTTAACACTAGGTTGAAATAATTTCCCTTCTCTAACTTTCCTGGTTCTATTTATTATCCAATTTTTCGTTATAATGGTTTTTATTAATGTTTTCCAAAACTAACAGCATGTTAACTTTGTGTTCTACCGGTAAAATTTTACAAATGGAGAATAACTTATTATAATCTTTCTTACAATTTTCTTTAACTTTTTCATTTACAAGATATTTTAGAAATCTTGTCTGTAAATTTTTAATATCCTTTATATAGGAAGAAAAAGTACGACCATACATACCAAGCCATAGGTTATGAGGCAATCCAACATTTCGTTTATCCACCCTAAGAAATCCACCCTAGAGTCCACACTCGGAATCGCCTGTCCGTTTACCCACCCCGGACAGGGTGAATAATCGGAATTCGTATATTATTTTTCTCCCGATTTTCTCGTTTATAGAAACATGATGGCTGTTTGTAAAATCTTTCTTAAATTATGATGATAATACCTATGATGGCGTTTGTGAAATACTATGAAAAGACATGACTCAAGAACGAAAATTATTTATGTGGCTGATTGGAATTCATTCGTACTGCCTCACAGAATAACAAATTCATTAAAATCATGGCATATAACCATTTCAAATGAAGTTAAAGACAAGCATCCAAATTTAATAAAGTTATTGGATTGCTTGAAAAAAGCGCCCATTTTTTTGCTTAAGCATCTGTTGTAACAAAGAAATTTAGAAAACGATTGCAATTTTATACAGGATATACAATTACGTCTACTCAATAATGAAATTAGTGTTGGTCATTTCCTGGACAATGGACATATTGCAGAATTTATAAATTACTTATTATTATTTAAAACAAGGAAGTTTAATTTGGTTTAAATGCAATACGTTATATGATTTTTGTTTAAGTTTGTGGTTATTAAAATTAATCAATAATATACATATATAAGTATTAATATATTTTCCGTTAACTGTAGTTGGGGTGGAAAGGTGGAACAACAAAAAGAGAATTCCGATTATTCAACCCGTCTAGGATTGATAAATGAACACGCGTTTCAGAGTATCCACCCTAGGGTGGATAAACGGAATACCCAATGATATTCTCATGAATTCCTTCCTCAGATCATGTTAAATTTATATGAGATCATCCCTGATGTAATTCTCTTCTATTAAAAAATATCTTTGAAATCGGACTATATGTTAAAAAACATATGATCATACATAAAAATGTTCCTATGAAAACCTACTTTACGTGAAATCGGTTGATATTTTTTTTAATATAAATATTGGCCAATAGTTGAAAATAATATAAGACAATGTTGTAACTCCAATAGAAATTAGGTCGCTCGAACAATATAACGCTGCTTGTGGTAAATGGTAAATATAATTAAAATTTATCAGTCACTGGTTTCGGACTTTGTATCACGCTCAATTAGTATTTTGATAACCAACATTCATTGCTTTTAAACCAAGAAAGAATCACTCGTTTAATAAGGTACTTGTCGTTTTAAAGATAAGTTGAAAGCAGCGACAAGAAATCCTATCTAGGAGGAGGCTTGTGATAAATGTATGAGAACGATCATGCAATACAAAAACAAATCACATGCATGAAATAAGTACAAAACAGAAATAAAAGGTTCTGCACTGCCGGGACTTTTAACAACTGTAACTCGAGAAACGTGCCCGTGCGGTATCCTGACCAAACCTTGCAAAAGTGCGTTTTTCAGAGATTATTATCTCATTAGTTATGAGAAATAAGCTACATATAAAAGCACATTATTAATGTTCGGTATCCTATCATCACATTACACGTTTTAATTTGTTTTATGTGTTATGAATACATTTAAAATCTACTTTTAAAAAATGACTAAAATTATTGATTACATCTGTTGCTAAAGGAAACGCTCCAATCATTTGAGGATTACACTAATGGATAGATAATTTAAAAATCTATATTCTACACGTTTAATTTAATTTCTGAAGTTCGCTTATCTTTTTTAATTGAAATAATTCCAAATATTCTGGCGTGTTTTTACGCGATATATTGTAGCGAGAGTGCGTGGATTGTATAGGACCGAACGCCAAAGGTCTTTCGCTAGTGGAAACGTCTTAATTTAAGTAAGTAATTATACTATGCATTTGCATTTCTTTTAATAGCGTTTTCTTCTTTTCAGATATAAATCGACCGAGGCGAAACGAAAGAAATTACAATATAAAATCTAGTCATATTTTTTAATAAATAATTTTATTTTTAATTCGAAAATGAAATAACTAGATACTTAACTACTTTACAGATTCATAATCTGTAAAATCTTATATCGCACTTATTAGGTTTATATAATTATATCTAAGTATTAATAAACATGCAAATACTAAAGGCTAGATACGCCCTAAGGGCGTCGGCTACTCAGCTGCAAGCGTGGTCTATCAGAAGCCGCACTGCAACAACTGTGAGTACTTTCAGCCATTATTTATTTTTTGTTTTAAACTTTGTATTTTAAACATAGAATACTATAATACACAATAGAATGGCTGTCAACCTTATTTTGTATCCTGCCAACCTTGTTTTGCCGGGAGCACACATACAAGCAATTACGTCGTATTATTACTACTACAAACCCGATTCGCTGTGTTTACGTACTGAGTAAATTTACACATTTTAGACTTTTGATTAATGTTCAAGATCATCATTAAAAAATCGTTTAAGTTTAATACATATTTATTTGTAAATAGTATGCAATTTGGCATTTTCTAAATAATTTGCATGCGAAATTTGGAAAGGATTGTAACGTCAAAACACATCTCTTGCTGACATTTATACGTGTGAATTCACATTTTAGTGGCTACACGGGCTCCGCTCACTCCCCCGTTCTATTATGTATGTATTATAGTATTCTATGATTTTAAATAACATCAGTAGACTTGTTGTGACAATCGTTAGTGGAATTCAAATGTTTTTTGATCTTATTAAATAATTAATGATGATGAATTTAAAAAAAATGGACCCACATTTTAGGTACACGATTTTGTACCGAAGTAGTAAGAGTCGGCAGAGGCTAAACAATAATTAAACCAAAAACAGCAACTTTGAGTTTTTTTATGGATTTCAATGTATCTGCTAAGATACAAGGCCAAGCGTGCACTTTAACTCGTTACGTAATTCTGTGTTGTTATAATTATCATTCATCATCATCATTACAACCCTTCACAAGTCCACTGCTGAACATAGGCCTCCCCTAAGTAATGCTACAAAGCACGGTCCTGAGCCGCCTGCATCCATCGACTTCCTGCATGTCTTACCAGGTCGTCACTCCATCTAGCGGGTTATCGCAATAAATCGAGGGTGTTATCGCAATAAAGCGGGGTAAATATTGTGCTCAGAAGGTACTTTAAGAGTATGTTTATTTTTCACACTTTTTTACATTAAAAATAAATAAATATTTCTTCACAAACATAATACATGTTTATGTGGAAGACCCCGTGATGCAACCGAACAGATTTACAAACTTAAAATAATTTACAAATCTTTATTTACTTTGCCTTTTTCTTCGAAAAAATTTTTAGTTCATTTTAAAGTTTTCAATTTCAGAGTGGACCAATATGTCATTTTTTATAGAATAGGGGTGACAAACGAGCACTCAGTCTACCTGTATTAAGTGTATACTGTGGCCCATGGACATTTCCCTTCTAATTCTCGAATAAGATTCAAAATGGGGCCCCTACTAGAATGCCACTTTTCCAGTCAAAAGGGTCTTCGGTTCTCTACACTCACTATACGAAACAGCTGTATTAAACTAACAGCTGCTATTTTACGCTGGTATTATGTGAGAGCGTGGTCGTTCCGACCCATTCATGCAACAACCAAATCCAAAATTTGCACCAATCTTCCTTGCAAATTATAAAACTTGTATTGAATAGTTTTTCATTTTTATTGATCATGTACTACTACTTCGTACTAGTGTTTAAAGAAATAATGTTAGTATTGTACTCGTGTTAGTGGTTTATTTTTAGCTTTTTAGAAAGTTAAATATGCATCCCGAACACCTTTTCATATGCTTTTGACGGTACGGTAACAATAATTTTTGGTTCCCTGTACTCATGCAAGAGTGAGATCGATTTTAGCGAGTGACGAAAACAGTGTCGCGATATACAATCGAGTTTAGAGGTTTTATTTAACACATAAAATAAATTATTGCCTTACAAGCAAATCACCAACTGTGTATGTATTAACGCTTATGGGAGGGAACTGAATTTCTCTTATATATCTTCTCTTATATGTCTTCTTTCGTCTATGAACTATAGTTTCTTTTCTTCAGGAAAGAAAACATGTTGAATACAAACCGATAAGAAGTGTACTGGTCGCGAATCGAGGCGAAATCGCTATCCGAGTGTTCCGAGCATGCACCGAGCTGGGCATCCGATCCGTCGCAATTTACAGCGAGCAGGATCGTCTACAGATGCACAGGTTAGTGACACAAAACATATATTTGTGTGCTAGCGCTGCTGGACTACCCAGGAGACCGTATGGATTGGTAGCGTCTCTTACCTATGTCTGCCACTAAGCGGCAATGTATCTACTGTTCTGGAGTGTATACAGCGCCATTCTATCTTATTGTTAGTACTCCTGAAGGCTTGGCGTGTGGTGACGGCAAGAGAATACATAACTGTATGTCGCCCCTTTTGTGTCACTAGAACCGAATATAGAAAAATCTAGGAAGATATTACGGTTTCCGGAAGGTCTTAAAGTTTCCGACAGATGGCACTATAACCTACGTCTATACGTCTCGTATACCTATGTACCCGATGTGAAATACCCAGTGCAGAGTCTGGAAACAGCGTCAAAGGTGCAAGATGTCTGGCACTGCGATCTACGAATTTACCTACCAAGGACGCGACCAATAATAAGTACGGTTTCTTTAAGGTCATTTATAAAACTCTCAACTTTAAAAAACCAATCAAAATATACAGAGTCTCTAGCGCTGGGAGTTATGTACACTACACACACATAAACACTGCTCTTCCGGTAGAAAATTTCACCCAGAGATCTTCGCCATTAAGAGTTTCAAATTCACGTACTCGGGTAGGTGTGATACCTTGCTTAGACGCTAATAGGACACAACCGCCATAGCCGCGTCTGCTTAAAGATCATTATGGCAAATCCTCCCTTCTATGGAGAGGTCAAGGTTGTGGACTGTCAGTAAAGGAAGAAGAATCCTCAAGGGTAATAAACATTTTTTATTGCTTAAAGTTGGTTACAGATGTTGCTGCTACTTAGCCAATAGCCAAAATTAATAACGGTTGGTTGGCCAAAAGGTTGACTTTTACTCAGTTTTAATTTTCATATTATTATTAAAAAATAAAGAGTAACGTACGGATGTAGTGCCAAAATACTGATATGATCAAAACATCTCTAGAAATGGGTACACAAGTACCACAACGACATTAGCAAAAAAATTAATACCTACAACTTATTATTTAAAAATACAAAAATGTTATTGTCATTTAAAATACATATTTTTACTACAATTTGCTTTAAAATATGCAAATTTTCAAAATCTGGCAACCACGTTTAAGTATTATTCAACGTGGAGGTATTATTACCCGATTCTATAGACTAATGATTAGCGTGGCCTCGAGTGAGAAATGACGATAACGTAGTTTTAGGTTATACAATAATCTTTATGACTTTTAAACATATTTAGATAAAAATTTTAATTGTTCTAAGAACTGAACTGAACAAGATTCACCAATCTTAAGCACACAAAACACTTTTTTCTCACTTAAACCAACTTGTAAACTCCTTAGATCGCTACGAACTGTAAGTTGTTTAGCAAAGTGTAGTTTGCTAAACAAAAAATCGGCACGGAGAAAGGGACAAACAATCACACCGCTCTGTCTCATTTCTATGCGAGACGTATGCATAAATCTATCTTTTTCGTGTGCGAATGCGAAAGAAGGCGTCAATTTGTCTATAGGTTTCTCTGTCTACGTACCCGATGGCCGCCCGCGCCGCATGTATTGCCATGTAAGTTTTCCATTTAAAAAATATTTGTATCTCAGTGGGTCACGTATCGGACAGGTTTATTTACATATTGTATACAAGCTGTGCCCGCGACTACGTTCGCGTGAAATCTGTACTTTTGCTATTCTAAGTGATGATGATTTATTTGTAAATTAAACTGTCGTGAAGACTTAGAAAGACACTAATCTGAATAAAAACATTCAGTCAGTTGGTCAATCAGACAAAAAAACGAACGAACAAATAAACGGACCTACAAACGATCCAAGAAACGAATAAGGCAAACTGTACGCTTGTGTTTTGTAAATTTTGTAAATAAACAACAAAATTACCGCAATAACGTAATCCCTTATTTGCTCCCGAATTTCTCTAGCCAATACTTACTGGTTATACTTGTTTTCCATACAACAAATAAGAGATTGCCCTAAATAAGCAAGCACCATCACTAATTATTTTATTCATATATAAATATTAATATTAAATAAAAAAATGAAATAAAAACTAAAATCCAATGCCTACCTAAAACTACGTACCCACGGCCTACGCTAACAAAATAAATGAAATTGCATAAGTACATACCTATCTAAATTTTGTTTCATCCTGCAAAGTTTTTTGACTTTTAATTAATAGGTGTGATCGGGCTTAAAATCAGTTGGGTTTAGCAGCCCGGAGTCAAAAGTTTAGCAGTGTTTCATTCCTTATGCCTAATTATTTACATAATAAATATGTCTTTCATATCTCGCTTATAATTAAACTTTATGGTGCTTGAAAATTCTTATAGCGCTATCTATATAAAATTGTAGTAGTTAATTTATTATTACGGTAAAATAAAAATTATATGATATTTGGAAAAGAACGGGTAGGAATAATATCAAATTAGGGATGTAACGATTCTGATACCGATACCTATATATCGGCCGATATATCCGTATCGCCGATTATATACAACCGATATCAAGAGTTTAAAAACCGCGCGAAACTAACAATTCGCGCGCGATATTCTACTACAGGTCTCTTTCAAAATGGTTTGCGTAACAGATTATCTGCCAATAACTTAAACAAACTTTGTTTTCTTCACAAAAACGTACTAAAAGCTAACTGTAAATACTGACTTTATCTTTTATATCGGTTCACTTTACCACTTTGTGTAATGAAAATTACTTTCTTGATTAGCGCTTTGATTGCTTGAGAATATTCTTGATTATTTCGTATAAATAAATGTTTTCTTTGAATTTTGAATTTTTGTATCGAAATTTTTATTTGACATTTTGGTTTTAAAACTTCTCAAAGTTCCGTCTACATAAACACTCACACCTGTCACCCAGAGGGGTAGGCAGAGACTACAGACTTCCATTTGGCACGATCCTGACACACCTCTCTCGCCTCCTTCACATCCATATACCTACGCATACATGCTCGTCGGTTAAGGGTACTAATTTGGCCCGTTTTCAATAAATCGCCAATTTGGTCGATAAATTTTCGCCTAGGACGTCCTTTTCCGACTCTGCCATTCACTTCTGCAAAATAAAATTTTCTTTGTCACTCTTTCCTCATTCATTCTTTCCACATGACCAAACCATGACAGAGTCTCTGATAAATATAGGTAACTTTTATGTATAAAAAAGAAAATTATTCATTATTTATTTGTTTTTCTTTTTTCAATTTCTACTCAGTCACCGATAAATGTATCGGTATCGGTATCGCCGATTATTTACTACAATAATCGGTATCGGTATCGTATCGGCACAATTATGTATCGTTACATCCCTATATAAAATCAACTCAAAACCGGGTAGCGTAATTTTTCAATGTCACGACAAATTTCAAAACTTGGGGACTGCAAAAGGGAATTATAATGTGCCTACTGCCAAGCTCCTATGATCCTCGCCGAAACCAAAAAAAATGTTAATAGCTCTTTTAAAATTTGATTTACCATGTTGTAGGTACTCGGCGGTTAAGAAAAAAAATTATAAGCAAACCTACTTATTTAAAATTTAGTTAATAAATAATTTGCACAACACCATCTATCGATGACAGTGGTTAACTATTGTACTTTTTTCACTAAAATATTAGGGTTTATAACGTTCACTGGTCACGCATGATAAATGAAACGTTACAAATAATCCGAATGCACAGTTTATTCACTTAAATAGTAACAGTATAGGCAATATTTGACACGTAAGTACATAAACGGCGTCTCGCGAACGCAGCGCGAGCGCGGGATCAAACAATAATACACATATGTATAGCTCAGAGCTAGTCGGCTAGCATACTGCTTGTATCGGCAGTCAAAGGTTCGGACGAGTGGCGCGATCCCGTGGCGCAGGTGGGGCACCGTACGAGAGGGGATAGAGAGACATCGGGTGACATAGGTAAGTATCGGCGCGCTACATACTCCCCCTTTTGACCAAGAGGGAACATCACGAATGGTCAAACTATTAGTTAGCGCCTAGCTGCGATCCTTACGCGGACCACCCCTACGACGCTTAGGAGCAACCGGCTCCGGACATTCTTCACCACCCCTGTCATGGTATTTACGCAGATCCGACACATGATACCTACCAACGCCTTCACCAGTCTTCTGCGAAGTTAGAAGGTAGGTAGTGGGACTGACCTGTTTGGAGATCACATACGGACCATCCTGCTTCGGGACGAATTTAGAAGTAACACCCTTAGCAGCATTACTCAGGACATGTGTCTTCATGAGTACGAGATCACCTTCTTGTAACGGATCCGAACCACGGCGATCGGAATCGGCTTGGAGCTTACGAAGATCCTGTTGATGTTCAATGTTCTCCTTAGCTTCCGAGAGAGAGTCAGCAAGCTTCAAGAGGTAAGGCGTAATCTGAGGGACAAAGTTTTCAGACTCGGTGACCGCTCGTAGATCAGCCTGAACCGACAAAGGAGACCGGAGCTCACGTCCAAATGTCAAGAAAGCCGGAGTGGTACCCGTAGAAACGGTGACTGAGCTATTAAGAGCAAATCGGACGAAAGGCAATATCTCAGACCATTGCTTATGGTTACCCTCCACGAGAATGGCGAGGTGAGATTTGAGGTCCCGATTCTTCCGTTCCACAGGATTCGCTTCTGGGTGATACAAAGGCACCAGGTTCTGTTTTACGCCTAGGACAAACAGAGCCTTCTGCATAACATCAGCCACAAACTGGACACCGTTATCGGAGATCATCCGCCTAGGAAGTCCATACCTCATAAAGATTTCACCAACAAGAGTTTTCGCACAGTTTTCGGCTGTGGCCTCGGTTAGAGCAAACAGTTCGACCCACTTACTAGCAGTGTCCTCCACTATCAAAATCCACCTTTCACCCTGAGGTCCTTTGGGTAACGGTCCAAAGAGATCGACGGCGATGACCTCGAATCGTTGAGCCGGTACCGGAGTCTGGAGTAAGCCGGGCGGTTTCAAGTTGGAAGACTTATACCGCTGACAC